CACGAAAACTAACTCCACTCCTTTTTCTGTCTGGAAAACGGTGGACTCGATGCCCTGACATACTCGAGTTTGTGCAACCTGCACAAACACAATAATTCGGCATAATCACAAATGGTGAAATGCACTGTTAACAACCAAAAAAATACTAACTCACAAGTTTACTACCGCTCAGACTCACTACCACCTACTACTGCACATTGGACAGAGGCAGGGTCAAGGAGGCAGAGTCCCTCTCGTGACGTAGTATTAGGCGATGCTGAAAAAAAAAGGCGTTTTTAGAAGAGAAGCTAAAAAGAGCCACTTTTTCCTCTGAATTTGTGCCCTTGTGTCGTGTAAACCATAATAAATTCTGAATTAACTTCTCATATGGTAATTTTCAGACAAGGTTATGTATATATTTTTTAAAAAATTTAATCTGCAAGTTGCACTTTAAAATGGGTCTTTTTTTTTTTTTTTTAAATATTTCTAAGGTGATGGAAACACAATTGCACAAACTTTGTGACATGGTTCCTTAACCTTAACCTAAAACTTAAATTACTGTCAAACCAGACAGAAAGGCAGAATTTGTTGTGTGATGTGCTGGAACCCAATGACAATAAGCTCTGTTTTATCTGAGTTCAGCTGATGAACTCAGGTGGCAGCGGGAATGTCTAACAAATGAGTAAAGTTTTTGTGTGTGTGGGTTTTTTTTTTACGTTTTTGGGGGGCTTTTTGCCATTAATGGACAGGACAGTGTAAAATGGGGAGAGAGACGGAGAGTGGGGGGACGACATGCAGCAAAGGGTCACTGATAAAAATGTTTGGAAACCCCGATTGAAGTTTAAATCTTTGGAGTGCAATTTATTCATTGTATATCAAGGGCCTTCCAGTTGCTGTCTTATTGTCAATGGTACTCAAGGTGCTCAGTGATGCAACAGTTAGTCCAAGGTAAACTGAAGCCAAGTGGGTCAGAGTTCAGTTGTATTGCTGCCTTCTTATATTCTGTTTATTTCATCCATGCTAACTAAGAGGCTTTTGCAGTGATATACACTACATTTTATTGTCCTAAAAAGTCCAACTCTAGGTAATTAGTTGTGAAGTGCAAGTTGTGTAGGCCTACTATATATATTATTATTATATAAAGGACACTCAGTTGAAGCTTCTATTTATATAAATGACACATGGTGGCCTAGCGACATCATTGTTTTCTGCCGTAGGAGAATTGTTTAGCATTTAAATGTTGATTCAGATTGCCATGGCTGGAATGTGGAATTGTTCATGTAGAAAAGAGACACCAGCATGGATTAAATCATTATGTGTTGTGTGCTTTTATGTATTATCTCTCTTTGTAAAAACATCAGCACATGGTGATGGGAGAATGCAGACAAAGAGAGAGGTCATAAAGACGGTGTCTAATGACATTGATATGTGAAAAGCAAAACACATGCTGTAGTATGTGTGGCATGTGTGCATTTATTATCAGTAACCAAAGTCCACACATTTTGAAATGGCCACTCTGAAGTCTCCTGGAAAGGTCTTTGGCTTTTATCGGACACCTGCAGATAAAGGTAAAGTGTCATGTTGGTTATGTAAATACTAGTAAGCAGAATTTTTGAGCAGATTGTTTTACATGCCCATATTTGTGCATCATTTACCACACCTAGAATGACCAACGTCAGGATCAGTGCTGACTTCTGTTTTATCAGGTTCCCCATGGGCCTGAAAACAGCACAGCAAGAACTCTGCAATAGCCTAGGGGAGAGGTTTACGTAGACAGACACTATGACCTGCTCAACCATAGGCCACTTCTGCAGATAAGGCTTTGATGTTGTTGAGGCCATCCCCACATCCCCACCCCAGGTTTTCTTAGCTGTTATCAGGTTTCCAATCAGCAGTGCTCTTGTCACACTTCTGTTCAGTTCATCTTCTTCAAAAATGACAAAATTAATACACCAGTCTGTCACAAATGACAACAGTACAACCAGGGCACTACAAAATAGTGCAGCAACATACTGTAAAACAGTTAGAGTGACAACTAACAGTTATTTTCATTATTGCTTAATCTGCCAGTTTAATTGCTTGGTCTATAAAACATACAACACATACAACAGCAAAAAATGCCCATCACAGTGTCCTATAGCCTAAGGTGACTTCATCAAATGTCCTCTACCCAAATATTAGTCCATTCGAACCCAATAACATTCATCATCCATCCAAATCTGTAGCCACTTATTATTAGAGTATATGACTATGACTATTTGTCATTTTTAAAATATTGTACTTTTTTTACGATGTAGACCAGTGGAGAGAATCTTCATATCTTTTTACATATGTTGTGTCTTTAACTGTCTGGAAAAGGCAAGGTCAAGTGCTAGGTGCGACTCTTGTGCCTTTTCTGTGCCAGCTTTCAAGTGCGTGGCATCAGGTTGCATCTGAGTATGCTAAGCAACCTCAACAAGCACCATATAATGGCCTCTTTACCGGAAATCCTGAGTGCAGAGCTGATCTTCCAGGCACTGTTTGTGTGTAGGCCTATTGTCCGTGGGACAGATGTAAAGCTCTGGCAGCCCTGCACTAAAACAGTCATTGTGCAAATATTGTTTTGGTCTCAAAACAGCACAAACAACCACAATGACACGTTAACACACAAAACAGACTAACAACTCTCACATATTTATTGTAAAGAAATACTTGATTGGAGCTTAGAAGTAGTATATTGAACAATGACCAAGATATTTTATTGAACTGCATTACATAGACAATTTAACCTTATCAGTCTCTAATCCACATAGCATGATGCCTGAACATAGGACTTTCACATTATTCTGCCTTAGTTGAGGCTTGAACTCACAACTTCTGAGACTGAGGTCCATCTTCTATCTCACTGAGTTAACTGGCAAGTGACAATTTATCTGGGGCTTCACAAATTGACTAAGCCAAGCATCAGGGTGCCAGACAGTAGCCATCCATGCCATGGAAAAGCAAATTTCAAAGTGAAAGTTCCAAAGCTGTAGCACATATGGTTGATTTGTTATGAATTTTCAAAGTTTTGAAATTTAGAGGCTTGCTGTAGCGCCACCATCAGGACTATTGTCTTGTGTTTCCAGTTGAGGACATGTGGCATGGGACTGGACCTTTATGAAAAGTTTGGGTAGATTTCTCATATGGAAATGTTGCACGAGCTGAGGCTTGAACTCACAATCTTCAACACCAAGAACCATCCTCTGTCTCACTGAGCTAATTGGCAAATGGAAATGTCACATGTAGCTTCACAAATTGACTAAGCCAGTCACCTGTGTGCAAGACAGCAGCTGTTAGTGTGTAAAGGCAGATTTCAAACGGCTGTCAAAAATTCAGTTATTAAGACAAAAATCTGGAAATACACAAATTGCATCTAGACAGCATGGAGATGTTGGTAATTTGTTTTTAACAATGATTTATTGGCTCCATAAGTGAAAAACTGATGTTTAAAAATGCCATTTTTGCATTGACTCCAATTATTCGCATGAGAGCAAAATTCAAAATGCTGTTAAAAAATTCAGTTTTTGAGATAAAATTCTGATATTTTCCAAACATCATCTACCATGACTCCAAAATTTTGTCATTTTTTTAATGAACATTGAAAATGTATTTAGCAAGAATTTGCAAGTATATGTTTACAATACCGTTTACAGTCAAACATTTTGATGCACTGTAGGCTCAATTTTCGATAAATCAAAAATCTGTGTGGATCGTTTGTGTAGGACAGTCTGAAGATGCTCTGTAGCAAGTTTGGTGTCAATTGAGCAAAAATTGTGAGAGGAGATAGGTTTAAGATGTTTTACAGTTTTTGAAAAAAAACAGAGTGATGTACTTCATAATTTGCAATAGGTTTAAATATACAAAAGTTTCTTCAGTATTGGGGCTACATTTTGGTGAAAGTTGCAAATCTGTAGCACCAAGTAGCACCAAGTCTAGGCTTGTGGCACCGTCCAACTCCCCGGGGGAACCACAGCTTCATCGGACGGCACATCAGGAAGAGGAAGAAATGCCCATTGAAGCAGGAGCAGCAGGAAAAGCCAGCAGTGGCGTGCTGAAGGCGGCAGCTAAACTGGAGAGCATTTGGCGGTTAATGCTCTTATCAACCCAGCCCTAACTATCTAAAGGAGGCGCAGGCCTCCCCTCCTAACACAGGAACGGTTAAACCTACTCAGCTGTCTTCGTCGCCGGCGGCTCTTCCAGCCGCGAACGACACCCTCCCTTCCAGGATGAACGTAGCCGCACATACAACAAATTGCTCCCCAGACACACAGACAAATGCATGCAATCAGCCGCAGCTGCATCTTATCAGTTCGCAGCAATCACACCACAGTACATAGCATATTTAGATGACCTCAAACAAAACTGATAAGTTTGTTTCGGGTATCACTTACCATGTGTTTTTAATTGATTACCAAAGATTTGTAGGTGTGGCCTGATGCACTTAATGGGACAAAACTCTTCAATGCCAAATTAGATTGCAACCAAATTTGGCAATGTTGTGCACATTGTACAAGTGTGTAAATTTTCATACAGTTTTACCCATAGATTGTGCCACAGTAACATCACAATTGGATTCTTTTGGTTTACAACTCTGTGTACTTAAATAGAATTAAACGTGGTAAACAAGTTCTCCATGATCATGTGTATGACATATTTAATGATGTCACCAATACACCAATAGCCCCATCATCAACACCACCACACTACGTAATAAGTGCCATATCTCTTAAATGTAATATTCCAGGGTAACCAAATTTAGTAAACTACAGATAGGGGTGCTAACCAAGTCTGTATCATTTGATACAGATACATTCGATTTCACCTGTAGTTGGCCCTAAAAGATTTGAAAAATTGTTGTTGTAACAGCAGCAGCTTGCAGCTGGCAGCAGCCACAGGTGGGAGCAAGTGCAGCAGCAGCAGCTAACAGCTTTCAGCTCTCACACGCACTTTCTTCAGAAAATGCAAATATTCTCCTTTGTCTCTATTGTCTTTTTGAACAGGGAACACTGTCAGCAACCTGATCATGATTCTTCCTCCCATTTATGGGGCCATCCAGACAATTCGTGACGGCCTTGAGCTTCGCTACATCTGCTCTTTCCTCGGACTTGCGGGTTAGTATGTTGCAACCATGAAGTACCTAGCTTTACATTAGTGACAATACTGAAGCAAACACAACTCTTGTTTACATATTGTATCTGTTGACAGAGGACTTTCCCATTGTACAGTATATCCTGCTGATGCCATCAGTCATGTTACATGCACATGAGAATGTCCTGACTTTCAATTTTAATGTTTGGTGGGGTTGCCTGTGTGTCCCCCAGCTGTTGGTGTTGGTTCCTGGTGCTTCCACATGACACTGCTATATGAGATGCAGGTGGGCTACAGTGTTACATGAAAACCTTAATATGTCAGCAAAAAGTACCCTTACAGAATCACGACGGGGTGATTGTTGAGTGTTATCTTTTCTGAATATCAATGTCTTGCTGAAACTGCATGAATCAGACCCATTGTTGTCTTGGGCAATGTGGATTTGAGAGGTCAAACATTTGCTGTCTAACGCAATGTGACATTATGCTGAAACAATGTATTTATGTTTTCTTCTTACTCTCATTTGCAGTTACTGGATGAGTTGCCGATGATTTACAGTACATGCGTCTTTGTCTACTGCCTGTAAGTTGCTCAACTTTGTGGATGTATTGTTGTTGAAGCAGTAACTGATGGTCACTGAGAACATATTCATTGTGACTGTGGCTGTAAAATGAGCCATTAACCTTACTGATCAATTGATACACTCAAAGAGAATATTATCACCCTGTAGCTGTAGAGTGTGCTGTATATAATTGAACTATTTATTATTTGAATCTGCAGTTGTAGAAACTCTTCATACATTGACATGATGAGACAAATATGTGATTAGTCTCAATACCTCTTAAGACAAAATTAAATCTAATAAAGTATTAGTTGTTTTCCGTTGTGAGTTACATTGCTGGGAGCTGGAATGAGCTAGAAAGATTAGTAGTCTGATAACTGGAAAATAATGTGCAAATGTCTTGCAAGAAATATGACTCAAATCAGCCATGTTGTGGTGCAGTAATTAACAACCAAAAATTGGATTTTAGAAAGGCCACGCCCCTCACACTGTAAGTCCGATCCACCTGAAATTTGGCAAACATATCCAACTGAATGTGCTCTACAACAAATCATTTTGGACCATAAAAGTCTGCCATAATGGATTTTTTTTCTAATTTGCATAATGTGAAAAACAATAGACTTTTCTTAATTTTGACTCTATTGACACCAAATTTTTTATACAGCCTTGTGGGACTGTGATACACATTGGTACAATAAATGAGCATGATCAGTTAAAAAACACAGTCACCATAAATAAAAATAAAAAAAAACTTTGAAAGGGCAGGGCTTATAAGTTAATTGGCCATAACTCATTAACTGTTTTTTCCAGTGAACATAAATCTTGGCAGATACCTTCAGTACATGTTGGGGAGTAAAGGCACTTAAGCATTTGGTGAACAGAATTTCAATTTCGGTACACATGCTCTCAGGGGAAGTATTAACCAAGATCTAATGTGTCATGATGATTAGTGCATGTGGGCATGGCCTACTTAGCATTATATGCTATATTATGCCTTTACTCAAATTACTGTGACTGAGCATAACCTAAAGAAAGGAAACTTGGCACCATAACTGGAAATTATGTTCTAATACTTTACAAGAATTTCAATCCCAGTCAGCCTGATCGTGGTGCTTACGCCATGAGTCACACCATGATGAATACTTTGCCAATTTGTATGATGTGAAAAACACTAATATGAATAGACTTTCCTGGATTTTGATTCTGTGAAGACCAAACTTGGTTTGCAGCCTTGTGGGACTGAGTTACAAATCCTGCTGTAACTGAGGAAGATCGTCCTAAAAACAAAGCAGCCATCTATCAAAATTACTTAGCAAAAGGCAGGGCTTGGAGGGAAATAAGCCATAACTCATAGCTCACTAACTTTTTGAGCAATCCTGATTAAACTCACTTCACAGATCCTGTACCTACATCTGAACATGTTTATGTTCATGTATATGTCTATTTCATATTAGCAGCCATATTGGCCTCCAAAATACAAAGTCCAATGTAAATCCTGGATTCTTCGAGCTGTGGGTGGCACACCAGGCTCTCCACAGGCTATTATTTAATGCTTTTTTAATGTTTAGTTGTAAAAAATATCTTTATCTTAAATGGCAATTGTAATTGTTTTAATTGAAAATAAGCATGATGCATCAGAATCAGTGCTGTGCATTGTTATTGCTGCTGCCATGCTCCTTAAAATGTGACCTAAAATTAGATTTCCCTCTACAAGAAAATTATGCCCTCTTGAGTAATTCATGCGATCACTCTCTCTTAGAAAACATAATTAGTGCCTATCCCTAATGTACATAGGGAATATTTATGAATAGTTCCTTTATCTGAGCACATGGCAGTGTTTCCCACAGGACAGGAATCTGTTTGTGGTGGCAGCGGTGCGACCAAGAAAAACGAGGAGTTTGAATAGAACTACAACACTTTCATTGAATACAGGCAGATACAGATATAGATATACATATATTGATATACAGATATAGAGATATACATATACATATACAGATATATAGATATATATAGAGAGATATAGATATATCCAGATATAGATATATAGATAAATAGATATACAGATAGCTTGCAGATAGCCTGCAGTCATCAGTTTTACTCCCTACAGTTAATCCTGTGTTTCCCTTCTTCCTGCAGTTTGCACCCTTTGTCAGGGCAATGAATTTTTCGGGGCTTCCTAAAAAAAATACTCGTCGTATCGTATGGAAAGTCCTTGGGGTCAGGCCCCTTGATCGAAATTCTCAGGCAGGCAGCCAGGTGTTCTCCTTGCAGGTGGTTTCTAAGGTCTGTTTTCACCTAAGGATTCATCAAAAAAAAAAACAAAAAACTTTATATGTCATAAACTGCACCAATAAAGAAAATGTGAAAATATTTGTTTTGCTCCTCAAAGTGATGCTCTTACCCTATTAAGAGTAGAAAAATCCCTTTCACAATTCATGCTTGAAACGGGGATCACCAAGGCAATGCCTGCGAGGAGGCTGAGGCAGGGGTAGATATTATCCCACTCATCGAACTCACTTGCCAGCAGAGTAAGGATGTCAGCCTGGTTCTTGTCCTTCAAAAAACAGGTTTGGGATTAGTTAGTTAGTGAGTGTGTGAGTGTGTTATGAATCCTATCCTATGAATCCTATAATTATAAATCAGTTTAATTCACCCACCTTGAATGCCCCAGTAAGGACATGGTTCTTAAATGATGTCCACTCCTGCAGGACCTCATTCTCTTGCTCAGGGCAGAATTTTCTGGCAAGAATCTTCAGATTGGCAATGTTTGCAGAGTCATCTTGCAGAGCAGCCGATTTAGGTCCGAAGACACTGAAAGCCCCAAGTATGTCCAGGTCATGGAACCTCAGGTGAAGGTTTTTTTCCAGGCCACTTAGGTAAGGGTGGATGACCTACAATGAACATAGGAAGATGAGCTTACAGCCACCTTTAATATAGTCATTAAGGGTCAGACCATAGAGTCAGGAATACAAATATAAATCATGAAAGAGGTAAATCATTACTTCAATCATTATTTACCTCTTGCTGGAATCTGGCCCACTGCTCCCCCCCTTGGGGCTTCCTGGACATCTCCTTGCCCCTGTCCTCTCCTGTTCCTCTCCTCCTCATGCCGAATGTTAAAGGCCCCAGGTCCTTAGGGATTATCCAGGTCCTGGTGGAGGCGAGACAGGAATGATCTCGGGAGTGGAGCTTCTCTGATGTTCCTCAGAGTATCAATGGTGACAGGGACCTAAATAAAAAAAAAAAAAAAAAAAACTACAAAAAAAAAAAACATAGCTGCTGTTACTGGTCAGACATGGAAAGGACCCCTATTTCAATGTATCAAAACACACTGACTTTTATCACACTAATTGTTTCAAGTAAATGTGCACATTCAGCATACCATCTCCTTTATATGAAGGAAGTTGACGTCTGCTTTTTGAAATACGCCATCTCCCTTCAGACAGACTTGCAAGGTGGGGCAAAACATCAGCCTGTAGGTAAACAGCAGCCACATATCTGTAGTAGAGGCTGACTTTTTCTGGGAGTCCCGCGGGTCATGTGATTCCCGTGGGATTCCCACGAATCAGTTTCACTATTCTTGATGTGATTGGGACGGGATGGGAAAAAAGTCAACGGGAGCAGGCGGGACTGGGAATCATAATTAGGCCTGTCGTGATATGCGATAAGTCGGTTAATTGCACGGTAAATTAAAAGGGATTAATTGCCATATTCATGCGTGTTTGTTTTCCTCGTCTCTCTCCACCAAAGAGACTGGATGACAAGAGCGTTCACTTCTGTGCATCGTCTGGCAGCCAGGTGAGTTGGTTCATTAGTGTAATGAACGGAGGGAAAGCTCTTGTCATCGAGTGTCTTTGTCTCTGTGGGGGAGGCGGGGCTCTGGGCTACACACACACAGTGTGATCTTTGTGAGGGGGAGACGAAGCAAAGAAGAAAACAGAGAGTTGTGCGTAAGAGAAAGACATGGAACTTGTTCCTAAACCAAATGCCACAGCCCCTGTGTGGGTGCGTTTTGGATTTAAACCAAATGACAGACGTCTGACCACATCAGAAATCAAATGTGTTTGTCATTCTGAACAGCATCAAGGTGGAGTGAATGTTAAAATAATTAGGCAATAAACATCAAAACACAACATTAGATGTCATATTTGGGTTTATATTCAACTAAGGTAGGCATTGTGTGATCCATGTACTATAGATATTTTTTTACTGTAACTGAAACACAACACAGGAGCGGGATGGGATGGGATTATTTTTGTGGGAGTGGGATGGGATGGGACGGGACTGAAAATCCACTCCCGTGTCACCCTCTAATCTGTAGGTGGCACAAAAGGTGTAGAGCCCCTTTGCCACCGGACATCTACACACTTCTGCCTCCTCTGCCAGGGCTGCCAGGACTGCTGTAAGGTTTCTCTGCAAGTTCTAAATTGCCTTGTGCTGAGACAGCCAACGTGTATCTTTTACTTCCTGGAAATGTTTCAACAAAGAGAGGATATAGTTACTGATAGACAGAAAATAACTATGGTATCACATTTTACATTATGAATAGTCTCGCTCACCAGACCTTTCTCAAGAAAAGAAAGGTCTGGCTGGGCCGACTCTCACTTTAAGATTGGAGAAAAAAAACGCCCTGGATGCTTGTATTTCTTTCAACTAATCACAGTCGTTCTGGGTGGTGCCACAGCAACGGTGCACTTGCAAAAATATTGCCAGGGGGAAACAGGTGTTCGTGTAACACGCCCACAAAAATATCGCCTACAGGCAGAAAAATGGCTACATCCCCGCAAGATCAAACACCGCAAAAGTTAGTAAAGGACGTGTTTAAAACTGCAACCGGAGGTGGTAGGGCGGGACTTCAGCGGGTGGCTCGTTCCGCCCAATGAGAGACTGATCTATGCAGCGAACTTCCGCCCACTCAGACTACATTATGAATAAACAAAAGATAACTACTACAGTATCAAATTACGATTACCTTTATTTTTAAATCACTAACACCCAGGGTGATGGACGCTGCCTTGAGCGCTGCAGTGCGATTAGCACTGTTGCAGGAGAAAAAGTGGAGCTCTTGCAGGTGATCTCTGAAGGTGGCCATGTACTTAACATCATTGGATGAGTCCTTGCAAGCAAGGGCTAATCTATGGGCTGCACAAGCCACACCCACGATCTTTGGGTAGCTGTCCGCAAGTTGCTTCACAACACCATTCACACACCCTGAATTAAAAAAAAATGTTTTTTAAAATAAATCAGTAACAAACATAGGTTATAACAAACAATTTTACATGATATGTATAATAATACCTGTCATAACAGCTGCTCCATCAGTCCCCACTCCATAAAGTTTTTTCTGTTGGCAGGCCTTTCTTACAGATTGCAGTCTTTATGGCTGTCACAATAGTGTCTGCTTTGCCATCAGCAATTTCGACCAGGTCCAGGAACTGATTGAAAACATGCCCCTCTTTATCCAGGTATCTGAGAGAAAGCAAAGTATTTAGTATTCACATTTATGACCCAGGATCTGTGGGATTTTGATGAAATTCTACTTCCATACCGGACATGCACATCGAGCTGCCTGGCTGTGGAGACGTCTGTACTCTCATCAACCTCCAGGGTAATTGCCTTTGAAGATTGGATTTCAGAGAGGACTGGGTCCTCAATAACCTCTCCCAAGATCTCCAGCATTTCATCGATAATGCGATGAGATCTGTAGTTTTTGCCCTGGTCAATCTTGACATTAGGAAAAAGAGAAAATTTGTTTTGTAATTTTTATTTATTAATGTAAAGACTAATTTTATTTTAAATAATATCTTGGTGACCTTTACCTTCAATTTCCTAAAAAAAAATCACACCCCAGAAGCTCAGCCAGGCTCAAAAGCTTGGGGTAGTTAGTGTGGGGGGCCAGTTTATTTTTGATCAGCCAGTAAAGGCACTTGAAGCCACCAATTACCGCCTCATGCTCCACAACAACTGTGGGCTCAAAGGCATTCATCACCGAGATGCCTGTAAATGATTAAATGTTTTATAATGTTAAACTCAAATGTTATTATAATTGCATTATTTGATGTTGAAACTGGAACCTACCAGATGCGAGAGATGCTTGGCATCTAACACTCTCCTGGTGGTGCTCTGTGGTGATGTGCCTTTCTAAGTAGTCCTTTCTATATACTCCTCCTCCAAACTCAACAAAGGCCCTCTTTCCTGGGCCTTTCCTAGCAGCGGGCTTGTGCTGTCTGCACAATCAACAAAACATCCCTAAAATGTAGAGCAATCATAACATTACAAAGAGAACAAAAAACAAAACATGGTTATCAATAATTGAAGAAATAATGCAGATACTAAATTTACCGTGCTGTGTGTCGTAGAGCCAGGACTTGAATTGGGGCATTTTCAGCCATTCTGGATCAAAACCAGTGACTCTGTGTTTTGCTGATGCAGTCATCTCTATAAGGCACAAAAGAATAGAAATTAGGACCCTTTTCCTGAGAAAGATGCATTTCTGATCTGACCCCTGCTTTATTTCCCTGTGTTTGCTGAGTCTCACCTGTTGCCTCTACCCTAGCTGGCACTACTGCATGCTGCCTGCTGTCTTCCTCCTCTTCCTCCCCTTCCTCCCTACATCTCCCTGAGTACCTACCGCTCCTATCCCTTCCTCCTGACCCTCTCTTACTGCCTCAGCTGCCACAGCTGCGGCACTAGTTGAAGCCTGGAAATATTGGAAGCAAATTCATTTTCACACTGATGGACGTCTGTTCACTCTTCCATGTGTGTTTCTTAAGTGTCTACACCATTTTGATAATACCTCCTGCGGTCCGGACTGTACCTCCTCTTCAGGATGAGGCTTTTTCTGCCGCTGAAAATATTTTTCAATACTCATCTGTGTGAAGGAGTGAACATCCAACGTCAGAGTTAATTACTAACGAGCAGAACTGCTCTATGTACAGCGCCGGCTAAACTTAAGCAGCAGCAGCTCAACACGTGTGCAGTGGTTAGCCTGTTGGCTAACGTTAACACTACTAACAGCGTGAGTTAATGTCTCTGCTCATTTTGAGCTTTCAGCTATGTTAATACAGACACAGGCTAATATAACATGATGAGTTAGAGTTGTTCGGACCACTTTTGGACTTGTTTGCCCACATATTTGTACCGAGAGGTCTTACCTTCGTCTTTGGATCCGTTCTGCTACTACGTCTGCTTCTTCTTCTTCTTCTTCTGGCGGACCAGGTGCGTTAAGTGCGTCTTCTGTGGTTTATGATGCATACCGCCACCTATTGCACCGGAATTGTAACGACAAGCTACATTCACAGACAGTGAGTCCCATTATAATGTGTTTATGAGCGAGGTCGAACAGGTAGCACCAAAAGCAGAAAAATCTATATGTGGCGGAGATAATTTATTCGTGGCGCACCGCCACAGATAAATGAATGTATGGGAAACACTGCATGGTGTGGTAGTGACATCACATTTGAAATTTCATGGTACCACAGGAGTAGCTGGATGTGTTTGGTTTTCTTGCGGTGTGTCTTTCAGCGACCACCACAGGTGATGTGTCATTAAGAACATCCACGTCAGCTTCCTCTATAGGGGTTAGTCTCTGTGCACATGTAGAGTTGAGAGATAGTCTCTCCACTTGGACAAACTTATTTGCTCTCTCTTCTTTATGGTTATTCAAGTTGAACACGTAATCACTTTCTTTTTCAGATACGAGTGTTTCAAACAAGAGAAGGGCATCAGCTTATTTCCTATTGCATTATTATTCATCTTTAGTGTCTCAGTCACTGTGGTGAGTATCCACTTTTACTTCAATGGTGATCATTTAGTTTTAACCATGAAGTAAATAAATTAGAACATGCATCATATTCTCTTGAGTAGTTCCTGTATTTCATGTTGCAGGTATACTTACAGTGGAAGGAGCCAGTATTTCACCAGGTAAGAGAGCTCTGCATGATGCTCAACTGGCTCAGATCGCTCATTGTTTGCTATTAGGGCTCAGCCTACCTTAAGTCATTACTACCTTGGGTAAACATTGGACTTGTCAACGCAGCATACAGTACATCTCTCACTTTGGTGGATGCTGTTTGTTAAACATAAAGCAGCATTTCATACCAAAGCAAAAATGCAAAATATTGCATCATTGATGTTATTTTACTGTTTGATGATGATCAGTTAAAGGTATACTCTGCAGGAATTTCCTAAAAAACAATTTATAGACTTATACAGTAGTAATCCCTCTTAAATGTCACTTGTGACGCACGCTTAGTGTGTGGCTGTGTATTTATCTGCAGAGTTTCTGTCCTCTGCCTGGATTTTCTTATCATGCCTCCGTGTCAGTGATAGCCGTGGATGGAGGCATTATGTATTTGTGTCATCTGTACGTCCCTCAGTCCATCCTTGTGAACAAAATATCTCACGTCTCAAGCGAATTTCTTCAAATCTGGCACAAATGTCCAATAGGACTCAATGATGAACTGATTCAATTTTGGTGGTCAAACATCAAGGTCAATGTAATCTTGCATCTGCCTCTTGTGAACGCGATGTCTCAAAAACACCTCAGGTCAATTTTGTTTTAAAAATTTGTCATAAACGTCCACTTGGAAGAATAAGTTGATTAGAATTTTTTGGTTGAAGGTCAAAGGACAAGGTCAGTCTGACCTCACAAAATATGTTTTTGGCCATAACTCAAGTATTCATTTGCTAAATATGACAAAACTCTACTCTAATGTCTGATAGGATAAAATAATGAATTGATGACATTTTATAAGATTAAAGATCAACTTCACTGTGACATCATAATGTTGCAAAAACACTTGTCTGGCCATTATTCAACCTCATTTATCAGGAACAGAAGGGGAAATATTTGGTCAAATACTTATTTGGTGACACTAATCTTGGGTCAGGACTCAATAAACAGGCAATGACCAGGTGCCAGACGTGAAGCAGCATGCATCCAAGTGGAAGCTACAAAAATTGCGTATACAGCACTGAAAAATGCAAATGTTGCAAGCCCACCAAGCATTTTTTGGTTTAAAAAGCGTCTAGACCTGACGTCTAGGCTAAATCACGGCTGAATTTGGGCTGTCAGTGAAAATTTGGTAGACGTCTAACCATAGCCAAAGTGTAGACATCATCAATTATACAGCTATGTAGAGACCATGTCCAAAAAATGGAGATAAATATATTTTAATTACTGTTGACTCTCCATACGTGATTGCAATGGTGAAAATTACATTTAATCAATTTCAAAATTAAATTGACTAGATTTGGGTTACATGTAGCTAGACTAAATTGGAGCTAAATATAGCCAATACGTTTAAATCATGACTATTGCTTGCTGGGAGATGAAACACCAGATGGACAAAGGTGGGGTTCACTTTCACTGACGATACTATTTACAAACAGTTGCTGACAATTTCTGCATGATATACTTTAAAGTGTTTATTAACGTGTAGCATTTAAAAAACCCAGATACTATGCCGTGCTGAATCCATAAATGTGGGATCAAACTAGTGAAGATTATTGCCAAGAAGAATTGCATAGCTCTAACCATATACAGTAAGCATATAAACCTTTAAAGATGTGCACGGCCACTTCTGTTATACAGATTTTGTCTGTAGTTTTGTAGAGTCTCACATTGTGTATGTGTTTCTTTATAACAGCCAGAACAATGTGTCAAATTTGCTTTAGTAAACTGACTGTTTACCGATCACACTGCTCTATGATGGCTCAGCAAAACTGAGCACAGTGAACAAGTAAACTAAGCACAAAAAGTAAGGACATTTGTATTTGGTAGATTATTTCTTTGTTGGAACAGTGCTTCTTGGCAATAAATCTAATGCTGTTGGAAAGCCGGTTTATTTCCCTTTTAAATGGTGCCACATTTGTAAGGAACATGCATTTGTGGGATGAGTAGCAGAGCTGAGTATGTAGGTTGCGCCTATGAAAAATTTGCCAAATCATCTCTGCCAATGCCAAACGGCTTTTTTTTGCTGTTGACTCTTGTTTGGTGTTGTTTGGTGGATTGGATGATTAAAGTCTGCAGAAACAAGACATATAGGCAATTTAACAATTTATTCATTTAACAAACAGGAGCCTCAGTATTCTGTGGAAGAATCATACATAGCCACAACAGCCTGCCACCTCCACCTCATGCTAGTCACCAGCCTGGTCAAACACTGCTCTGGGACGCTATCCTAATCCTCAGCCAGCATTTGTCGCAAATCAGCCAACGTGGTTGTGTTGGTCACTCTGGCACGAACAGCACACCCAAGCTGATCCCACAAGTGTTCAATGGGGTTGAGGTCAGGACTGCTGGCTATCATCTTGATATCTCTGCCTTGAGATTGCCTCCGTTGATGACAAGCCTCAAGCCTCCCTCATTCCAGTGAGGGAGATGTTGCCCCACACCATCACACTGCCATCAGACTGCCACCAAAAGATGTTACTCTATCGGTGCAGCAATCAGCAAAGCGTTCTCCTCCTCTTCTCCACACTTTGACCCTATGATCCAATTGCCGCAGGCAGAATCCGGACTCATCGCTGAACATACCGTTCCTCGCTGACACAAGCGCAAACAGGCCTGATGGTGAAGGCCAGTCATGGCAGGCCTCCTGGCAGCCCTATGAAACTAGAGATTGGCTGCGTGCAGTCTGTTCCGGATTGTCTGGGCAGAGAGCCGTCAGTCATGTCTTCCTGCAAACCTTGACTGCAAATCTGTAGAAGACTGCCTACGGTTCGGAAGTGCTGACAGGATGAGGACACAGTCTTCTTGGGGTGCCGTTTTCTTGGGACGCCCACTTTGCAGCCTGTCTCTGACATCCCCTGTTAATATGGAACCTGGCCTTCAGTTTGCAGATGGTACTAAGGCTCACTCCAAATAATGCCGGAACTTGGTTTTGCAGAACACCAGCTTGAAGTTGCCCTATTGCACGGGTCCTATCCAGATCAGTCAAATGGGCATGCCAATTCTTGGAACATACACCAACTGGCCACTGTAGCAGGGCCCATGTTCACCTGGGGGTACCAGAGGCTCAAAACAAGAGGCAATAGCAACAGCAAAAAAATACAGCTGTTTGGAATTGGCAGAAAAGATTTTGCGATTTTTTGTGACTCATCCCACAAATGCATGTTCCTTACAAATGTGGCACCATCTAAAAGGGAAATAGACAGGCTTTCCAATAGTATATGATTTATTGCCAAGAAGCATTTTGACAACAAAGAAATAATCTACCAGACACAAATTTCCTTACTTTTTGTGCTTAGTTTACAGAGTGTGGTCCAAATGGCCACTTTAATTATGAGTAGTTTTGTACTTTAAATAGGGATTGTAGTGAATGCACATAGCATTCGTGTTGGTTTTCCAAATTTTTGCAATGTAACATATACTTGTGTTTTACAGTAATACAGCACAGTGGTTCCCAACAGAGGCCTGCACAGGTCCATTTTTGAAAACCCACACCCGCCTGTACCTGTAAATTTCCGCACCAGAACCAACCCGTTACACAAAGGCTACAGTCAGTCACATTAAGCTCAGTTCTCTGTTCTTCAATTACAAATCCAGAGGAGGGGATGTCTATTTCACTGGCTGCGCTTGTGAAAACATTTAATCACTGCCAGGATAGGAAACATTTTAGCATGCTCCTTCCGCCACCATAAAACCTCAAAAGGATCTTCCTTGGCTGTCTTGAACTGGATGTAGGCTGCCACCTCATCCTCGGGCTGCAAAGTTTCATCACTGGAGTCCTCCACATTGGTGACAAATGTGACAACGGGGTCAAAGGATTGACTTGTGTTGTTGAGTTTCAAAATAAAAGGATGCAGCTTCATAATAGGGATACATGTCAAAATGTCACACATACACTGCACATCTTTTTCAATTGTTGTATTCTGAAAAATATTTTTGTTCTCATCTGCTGCCCGCCCACGTGTAGTTCATTCTTACCCATACCTGTACCCATACCCATGAATTTATATACTATTGACTTCTTTTAAATGAAGCCAAGACTATTTGTAACCTTTATGGCCTTGGTGTGGACAGGAGTTGTGTGTATTTCAAACAGTACCTGCACTTTAAACCAATCGCCTAATTTTAAGGATTACCAAAAATTCTAAATAAAATGATAAAATAATACTGATAAAAGATGAATAGTTGAAATCATTTATCCTGTAAACTGTCTAAAAGTCTACAGCTGTAATAGTGAAAGCTCTCACTTAAGTGTAAATTCTTATAATACCCAAAGGAAAAAAAAAGTTGGAGAGGAAAACTTTTTAGAGACAACATTGTGTGTATTGGAAAAGCTAGCAGACTGTTAACATTTATCTCAGTGTACAACTTTGGCTGCCAGAGAGAAAAAATGTTGATGAAAATTTGTACACAGTTTGATTCATCTTGGCCCACACGCCCTTGCGGTGTATCAAAGCCAAATTAATAATCATGTCCTCTTCTAGGTCATGTATGGTGCTCTAGTAGCTTGCCTAGTGATGCGATCTATCTTCATTGTTACATGGTAAGTTTGCCAAGTTGACCGTTAACATTAAAAACATAAGCATATCAAATGTGTTTTTTGTTAACATTTAATAATTGAGAAAATGAGTCACGTAACAACTTCCTGAAGTGTTTTCTTTGTTGTTTTTGTTTCAATGTTAGGGTGTACCCATGGCTCAGACCGCTGTGCTACACCTCCTTAGGAGTCTTTATGTTAGGGTTCCTACTGTGGAACATTGACAATATCTTCTGTGACATATTAAGGTAAGTATTTGCTGTGAAAAATTAATAAGGGATATTATATATTAACTTGCTTAATTTTGGAATTCATAGAGCAAAGTTAATAATCATCCTTTTAATAGTAGCTGTGTCAGTAGTAGCTGTGTCAGTTGTGACATCACAACAATAATGTAAATCATTTTTTTCTATTCTCAAGGAGAAGTCAGGAAAACTCAGTAATATCAGTGCCTGAAAATGTATCAGCTCATTTACTGTGGAATAAGACACCGAACCAACTAATCTAAAATGCCTGTTTAGGTTTTGATTCACGTTTAAGATAAAACATTTATCAGAACAATTTCTTAGCAACATCTCTTAGAGAATCATTTACTGTTGGAGATACATTTCTACTGGAAATAGCTCTAGCTGGAGGCATTATGTTTTCAGGTTGTTCATCCATCCTCACATATGTACGGCTGTCCCCTTCTCATGAGCCGATATCGCACAAACGTCTTGAAAGAATTTCTTTAAATAAAATGTCCACTTGGACTCAATGATGAACTGATTAGATTTAGATGGTCAAAGGTTTAAGGTTAAGTTCACTGTGAGTGTGTCTGTCTCATTCTTGTGAAAGTGATATCTCAAGAATACCTTGAGGGAATTTCTCCAAAGTTAACCCAAATGTCCATATGGACTGATTAAAATTTGGTGGTCAGAGGTCAACCTAACCCATGGAACGCACTGGTGATTCTGGTTGTTGTTTGTGAACGTCAACTGTTAATACTGTAAACACTGTAAAATTACTGTAAAAATTTTTTACAGCATTTTGAATTTTGCTCTCATGCGAATAATTGGAGTCAATGCAAAAATGGCATTTTTAAACATCAGTTTTTCATTATGGAGCCAATAAATCATTGTTAAAAACAAATTACCAACATCCCCATGCTGTCTAGATGCAATTTGTGTATTTTTGGATTTTTTTCTTAATAACTGAATTTGTGACAGCCGTTTAAAATCTGCCTTTACACACTAACAGCTGCTGTCTTGCACACAGGTGACTGGCTTAGTCAATTTGTGAAGCTACATGTGACATTTCCATTTGCCAATTAGCTCAGTGAGACAGAGGATGGTTCTTGGTGTTGAAGATTGTGAGTTCAAGCCTCAGCTCGTGCAACATTTCCATATGAGAAATCTACCCAAACTTTTCATAAAGGTCCAGTCCCATGCCACATGTCCTCAACTGGAAACACAAGACAATAGTCCTGATGGTGGCGCTACAGCAAGCCTCTAAATTTCAAAACTTTGAAAATTCATAACAAATCAACCATATGTGCTACAGCTTTGGAACTTTCACTTTGAAATTTGCTTTTCCATAGCATGGATGGCTACTGTCTGGCACCCTGATGCTTGACTTAGTCAATTTGTGAAGCCACACATGAACTGTCACTTGCCAATTAGCTCAGTGAGATCGAAGACGGACCTCAGTCTCAGAAGTTGTGAGTTCAAGCCTCAGCTAAGGCAGAACGGACATTCTAATGTGAAAGTCCTATGTTCAGGCATCATGCTATGTGGATTAGAGACTACTAAGGTTAAAATAATTATGATCCAGGCTGTTTCGCAGAGAGACAAATACTCTTTATCAACACTTTCCCCTCTTATTCCTTGTCTCTTTTCCCTGTTTATTTGGCTTAGCTATCAGTCAATATGCAGAGTCTATCCAATAGCTACTTTTACATTTTAAAAAATGTTTTCATCTTTGTCACCATGGATAATGTTTAGCTTTAAGCTAGATCAGGCCAGTTTGTTCATAATTGCTAGCAGTTAATGTTATTCTTACTTTCTTGTTCTTGAGTTTTTTCTTTCCTTTGTCTTTTATGAGTCTGATCACTTCAGCCACTCATCCACAACTTGAAGGTCATGCCATAATTATATGATGTAACTTCTATGTTGTGATATGCTTTGTTTTAGTGTGTGTGTTGCTCAGAATTGCCTAATTTTGCCTAAAATTGCCCGGCCCCGACCATTGCTGCGCAGCAGCTATAATTCTAATTCTCATGCTAATTATGACAAAAATTCACACAAATGTCCAATAGGATAAAATGATGATGTTATGACATTTATATCCAAAAGGTCAATGGTCAGCTTCACTGTGACATCGTAATATTCTGCAAAAACACTTTTTTGGCCATTACTCAATGTCATATCTCAGGATTAGAAGGGGAGACATTTGATTAGATATTGGTGACACTCATTTTGGGTGTCCACCTTGAAACTGTGCTGACTGTGTAGATCGTTTGTGCTGTTGGGGGGAAGACGCGTGTGAAGCATCCGTATTTTCACAGACATGGATGTAAACTGTAAGAGAAACTTGACTGGTGCATGGAGGTATACAACTGCGGGACAGTAATTCTAGTTTGCTTTGTTATTCAGAGCCAGAAGGCAAACACTACCCCCTGGTGTTGGAGTAATCACACAGTTCCATGCCTGGTGGCACATCTTTACAGGCCTTGGATCCTACCTGCACATACTTCTCAGGTAAGCTGCCATTTCAGGAGACAGCCACAGTGATTTTGTTGTGGTGAGACATGTTTATTTGCATTGAAATCTTATTTATATCTTCTTCTAGCCTGCAGATCAGGTCAACCTACCTCAAGTACAGACCAAATGTAAAGGTATGTCTAGCAGCAGAGATGGGGGACTCGAGTAACATGACTTGACTCGAGTCAGACTTAAGTCGCAAATATGATGATTTGAGACTTGCTTGACTAACGTTGATAAAAGACTCGACTTGACATTGACTTTGTATTCATGACTTGAGACTTGACTTTGACTTGAGACAGATGACTCGAAAGGACTTGGCTTTAATTCAGTATTAAAGGCAGGCTAAGCACCGTTGGGCTTCACTTCTGTTTACATTCAACAATGTTATCAAACACAACAGAGCTAGCTCGCCCCTCGTCCTCCATGACTCTGTCATGAACGAGCGATAGCTGCTAGTTAGTTTACACACCTGTTCAAGGGATAGTGCAACCAACATGAAAATTCACCCATTATCTACTCACCCTCATGCCAATGGAGGATCAGGTGAAGTTTTAGAGTCCTCACAACATTTGCGGAGATCCAAAGGGAGAGGAGGTAGCAACAAAACTCCACCTAATGGAGGCTTACGGTGCCCCAGATTCAAACGTCCAAAAACAAATAATTGAAACCACAAAATATCTCCATACTGCTCGTCCGTAGTGATCCATGTGTCCTGAAGCCCTGACATAAAAAGTTGTCTGGAAAAACGTCATTTGAACTCTGTTTTTAGCCTCATTCAGAGCTCTACGCATTTTACTTGCGTTTGCGACTAAAAATAGTTCTGTGCAAGCAGAATCCTGCCAGTTGTGGGTTGAACAGGGGTCATATACAGGAAAACGGCGGAGCACTATGGCCACCACAAGATAACGGTTTACTGGCCACCGAGAAGCCCGGCTCCAGGTCCAATAATTTCCTTTTCGTTGGTGTCATGACTGCCCAGAAATACCCGAACAGCCGAGCCGTGGCGGCACACAGGTATGTGACATGGAGAGGAGAGGAGAAAGGAGCCGTTCACATTTCTCTCTTTGTGGCAGGTAATGGTCCACAAACCTCACCGCACTGAAGGGACTGTTCTTAACCTATCAGAGGAGGAAGGTGGCTTTATTGGAATCTATTTATTTTATTTTGCTCCCGCCACTAGCCACAAATATTTTTCCTTGAGATTTTTTTTCCCGAGAGAGCGGTGAGCAGCAGCGGTGCCGTGCTCGGGAATCATGTGGTGATGATTAACGGTGGTGGAGCGCATAAACAAACACTTTGGAGGAGGTATGTGCTTTCCAATCAAACTTTTTTGAAGGATTATTAAGTCTTGAACCGAATTTCACCGCTGATTGTTTTCTTGATAGACTCTGATTTTTTATTTGGCTACTTTTGTCAGACGATTGAGAGCGGTGACACACGGTCCGTGTGGATGAACTTGTATGAACCTGAGTTGATTAATGAAGTAACTTGAAGTCAGAAATAAGGAAAACTGTTTTACTTTTACTTTTATAATTATTATTATCTTATTATGCCAACTGAAGAATTAAATTTGTTTATTTGGGTGTTTTAGCTCTTTTCTCTGGAGCAGAAACTGATGCAAATGAGCTCATTAATCAATGAGGGGGAAAATAACATGATTCGACGATTAGTCGGCTAAAGGAAAAATCTGTCAATTCAGATTCGACTATGAAAATTCTTAGTCGGGGACACCCTTAGTTAAAACTATTGTAATGTTGCTAATGTACTAATGTTGCTAAAGCAAGAGGTTAGTGGAGTGAGAGGCTGGTCCAGGCAGGTAACTGTTGTCCTGTATTTTCTCCGAAATCCAAAATTCTTCCACTCTGCTGATTTATTCCTGAGTAAATAATGTTATCCTCATCATCTTTCTCTTGGCTGCTTGCCATCTGCCTACCGCTGTTTGACAGTGACACAGACTTTCAAATAAAAGCCTATGCTAAAGTTGTTGTTTTGTTCATGTGTTCGCTGCAGTTCAGAGCAGGAATAGAGATGTCACACAATCTCCCATCTAAATTTGAAAATGGTCTCCTTCAATGTAAATGGAATACTCAATCCAATTAAGAGAGGCAAGATACTGTCAGAATTGAGAAGGGAGCGTGCTCAGGTAGCATTCCTTCAGGAAACACATTTATCTGAAACTGAACATGCAAAACTGAGAAGAGGAGGCTTCAAATATGTATTTCACTCATCCTATAAATCAGGACATAGAAGAGGGTCTGCCATCCTTATTTCAAATCAAGTCCAATATGAACACATTTCAGAGACTAAAGATAGGGAGTTTAATCCAACAGGCCATGACTACACTTATTTGTCTGCACCTCAATCTGCTTATTCAAGGATTGACTATTTTTTGCATTCAAGAGAGAACGATTTAGAATTCAGTCGTGATATTGGAACAATTGGTATATCTGATCATTCACCAATAGTAATGACAATTAATATTGATAATAACCAAAAATCGACACTATGGAAATTGAACTCAAGTTTATTGAATAACCCCCAGGTAAAAGGAGAGTTGGAAAAGGCAATAGATACCTATTTTAAAGAAAACAACAATGTGTCCCCTCCTATGGTGTGGGATGCATTCAAGGCAGTCCTGAGGGGGAAAATAATTTCTATTTCCTCATCACTAAAAAAATGTAGAAGGGGGAGGCTCAATTCTCTATATACCAAACTCAGAGAATTACAAAAATATACATGACCTGTTCCAAAAGAGATATCTACCATTTGTGAAAATTGGCACCTTTCTTTGTATGACAAAAATGATTCCTTGCATAAAAGTAAAACTCAAGGAACAAAATATGGAATATCACTGGAGTTATTGGCTATCTTGACTCCTTTACTAACAAAACAGTAACCTTTTTGTGGAAACAATCACCTGTGTTGTTTTGCCAAGAACAAAATATGTAACAATAACAAACCTGCAATAAGATCAGAATGGTTTACGTTATTCTTCTCTCAATACACTGGGTATGGGCCACAAAACATTAACAAGCTTGTAGTTGTCCTCCAGTGGCCTACTGTAAGACCTAGAAAAGTGTTATGCAACAGAATGGTTACATTTCAAAAAGATCAAGCTGGACAGTGTCCTTGCACTAAGCCTGGCTTGGTGAGGGCGCATTATAAGGCCTCCGTGACTGTATACTCTTTCCACTGGTGCACTGGTGGCAGGAACAGCGAGCACTCTCATAGCCACAAGATAGAGCCTTGGGAAGACCTTTGCATGCCTTTTCCAGAAACCTAGGCAGTCTGCTTCTTCTTCATCAGAGCACACCTGGATGTAGCGAATGAGCTCAGCCTTGACAGATGATACATGGTCATCCTTCTTGTTGCTTTATTTCCTGTAGCCAGTGAAAAGGCGTGGAGTTTTAGCAGGTGGCTCATCCTTATCATCCTCTCCACTACTGCTCTCAGCAAGTATGGTGACTTTCCGAGCCTCAGCCAAGACAAGGTCTGAAAAAGTTGCACAAAAATCATGGTTAGTTACAATATTATGACGTTGACAGTGGTGATGGTTAAGTTAATGAACGATAAGTAAGTCTAAATGAGATTTTACTGATGTTATTGAAAGCGAGAAAAGATTTGAGTGCCTGAAAAGTTGGGAGGAGAAGGAAATGAAAGGTGCCTGAAAACTCCAAGCCATGAATGATGCATAATGTGATGATAATGTGTTTGGAAATGGTGTGCATTCACCTACCTATTATCATCTCCTTCACCTCACTCTTGACTTCATCTGGTGCAAGGACATCTTGCTCTAGCCAAAAGACGCAGAATGATGGGTCTAGTAGTGCAGACATCATGTAGACCATATCTCCAAATGGAAGATCTCCTGCGGGTTGAACTGAGTCATCCATTCTGACATTTGCAAAGATCCCCCGGAAACGGCGTTGCAGTGACTTCTGGAGAGCTTTCACAAAACCGGCCAGATGCCGAGTTGTATTCAGCATACTGTTGAGGTGGCTGTTGAGTGAGAGAACGCAAGGCAGAGCCGCACTTAGAGTCACCACTTTCTCCCCTTGTGTGAGGTCTGTTGCTTGAGAAATGGGGCCAAAATTTCCACAAGCTCTTTCAGCTGATTCCATTCTCTTGCTGATAAGCACAGGCCTTTATGTCCTTGGGCTTCCAGAAGAGTATTTAGGCTTTGAGGATCCAGGTCAGTGATTGCCTCCACAAGGCAGAGAGTTGTAATTCCATCGTGTTGATAGAGCAAAGGGGATGCTTCGATTGGCTCCATACTCTCCCTCAAATGCTTCTTTCAGCCCACAAGTGGAATGAAGTAAACTGCAGAATTTTGTCACTTTTGCCATTGCACTGTTCAGAGTCTTTGTGTCCTTCAGTCCATCTCACACAACAAGCTGTAATGAATGTGCAAAGCACTGTAGTCGCTGTTGATGGCAGCTGCTCTGGATAGATTCCACATCGTCCTGGAAATTCTCACTTATATCCTCCCATAAGTTGCTGTTTTCCAGGTCGTCTTCACCATCTTCACTCTCAGTTGTTGCAGAGGGGAAACAAACTGTGAAGGCTTTCCTCATATTTGCTGCATTGTCACAGATAATGTCATCTAATTTGTGTTTTATATTGAAGTTGTCGCATATCTCCTCAAATTTCTCACTTATTCTTTCTCCAGTGTGTGACCCTGTGAATCGTTCACAACTTAAGAGAACAGTTTGCAGGCTTGGGCTGTTTTTCTCTATTTCCATGAAGTGGGCTGTTACCCCTAAAAAGCCACGCATGCTTCGGTCAGTCCAGATATCAACAGTCACAGACACATTGTCTGTCTTTTCTAGTTTGGATTTGATCTTGGACTCTGTCTGCTGCTAGTTCACTCAGACGTCTGGTTACGGTGCTTCGACTTACTGGGCAGTATCTCTCCTCTACCACTGACATGAAATTCTTGAAGCTAGGCTTGCCAATCAAAGACAGAGGCAGATTGCATGAAATGATGAGATCCTGTATTATGGATTCAGTAATGGCCTTCTGTCTGGGATGGCCCTGGCTGTATATCTGCACACCTTTTGCCTGAGTCAAGAACGCATCAAGGCTGCTCTGTCCCTCTCCACTGGCCAGTTTTTTCACTTTGTTGAATTCA